TTTTAGGATCGTCCTTTGTGTTATGTCAAATATAGCCTTCATATTGAAACAAAATGATTTATTTTCTTGTCTTGATAAACAATGAATTGATAAAGAAGATTATTCCTAGCCTCTATTAAATATAAACCAGTAAAACCTGTCTACTCCAGTTTAAGCAATAGCAAATTGACTCCATATGTTATGACATTTTAAAATCTGATTCAAATGGATTCATTTTTACAATTTTTAGAATAAAAAAAAATTAATATCAAATGAAAGATATTTTATCAATTTAATTATTAAAATAATTGCCATTGGAATATATGTTGTCAATGAAAGGAAACAGGACTAGAAATGGTTTTGAATTCAGAGTTTTCTGATCAGGTGCTCTGAAATTCAGGTTTAATTGTAATTTAATTTCTAGTATTTTTGAAATGTTAATCCTGTTCATGAAAGTTTTGAATAATTTGCGAGTTTTCTTATCACATTATTTTTATTATTTGCATGTTTTTAGGTCTAATCCATTGATAAGCGCTTATTCTGCTTCTCATTACTCATTATTAATGAATCACCTTTACTTTAATAAATGACTGCATATTTCAGGTAAATGGTGTTAAAGGCTACTCTGGATTGTTACTTTTTCAAAATATCATAGACCCAGACTTCCTCACAAGCATTGATTACATGCATGGCGCTCTGATTGGCATCGGGAAGAATCTCCTGAAGAAATGGGTGGATCCGAAAAACAAAAGTGAAGACTTCTACATTGGGCACTGTATCGCTGAGTTGAACAAGCAAATAGAAACGGTGACCCTGACAGACGATTTCACAAGGACCCCTAGAGGGATTGATACCTACAAAGATTGGAAAGGTATGTAGAATCAATGATGAAACTGAATGTAATAACCTAGATGTCAGTAGTTAGTTCTCAGTTTTATCACTAGGTGGCTTATTCTGGCGAAATAACATTGCAGCTATACAGAAAAAGTATTTTAAAACTCAATATTTAGTAGATGAGACCTTTTGAGTTTGATGATAATATAACTGAAAAATATGTCAAGTAAAAGAAAAAAGTATCTGGTCATTACAAAAAACAATTGATTTTGTAGTTACTTTATTTCACTTTCCATGATTCTATAACATGGGCTTCAATGGAGAGTACTGATGTATTGTTTATTCACTCATGTTCTACTTCAATTTGAAACTATCAGAATTTTCATTATAGCAAATGAATTGAAGGCATTCATCCTTTACTGGGGCCCTGCAATCCTGAAGGAGTATTTGGAGAGCGATTTTTATGAACATTTCCTGATGTTATCTAGCGGCCTCTATCTTTTGACCACAGACAACATCACGAAGGATCATTTGGATACAGCTGACAATCTTCTGAAGAAATTTGTCTATTTGATGGAAGACTACTATGGTAATTAATATAATAATGTTGAATTCTTCCTCTGGATAGTATAGCTTGCTTTACATTTTGAATATGCAAGTTCCTCAGGGAAAACATTTCCCAATATTTCCTGTAAACATGGCAGATAAATGTGAGAAGGATACTGTTCTGAATAGACAAGGGCTTATACATTAAATTTACAAGTATTGAAAATTGCTGATTATAGACTTTATAGTGTTCACTTTGACACTGATTTGGCTTATTTTGATTGGTTGGCAATTATTAAATGAAAATTGATGTAAATTTTGCCTGTTGCAAATGATATGTATTCAGATTAGAATTGGCTCAAGGAATAATATCATTAATATTACAGGAAAAAGCAGCATGACAATTAATGTGCACAACCTTCTCCATTATCGTCTTTGTGTTGAGAAGACTGGCCCCCTTTGGACCACAAGCTGCTTTGCAGGGGAGAACAACTGTGGGTTTTTTGTAGAACTCATACACAGTCCAAAGCAGTATGCTTTGCAGGTAAGATCTTCTTATATTATATTATTTAAGGATTTAAGCCCTGGACTCTGTGCATTGTTTGCTGAATCATAACATGAAGGTGTTGTTTCCAAATCTTTGCATGACCAATCAGTGGAAATGCAAAGTGCTTTGGAATGCAAAGTTTAGGAAACAATGCCCACATGGAATGAAGCAGTTACAATGGAATGAAGTGGAATGAAGCAGCTACAATGCACCGGGTCTTGGGCTTAGATTTTTTCACACATTGCAAAATGTTTTCTACCAAATCACCTTAAAGATACAAAATCACTAGAAAAAGTTTAGAATATTTTCAATGAAGGGTGAAGTATTGGCAAAGCATCAATTGCAATCTCATCACCTTAACAACCATACACAACAAATGCATTATTGATTATTTCATGCACTGGATGAAATAATGATGTAAAAATACTGTGTTCAGATTTCTCAGAATCAGACACTTAGGATTAATAGTTAACACCCTATAATATTCTTTGGAAACATGAGACAACTCTTGATAACCATTTAAGGTAGATGTGCATATTGAGAATTCTTTACAATTTTGAAAAATACCTCTGCTAAATATTTAAACATTCCAAAGGAAATGTCTTAAAGATTTCTACACCCAGGAAGTTCCAGAAGTTCTCAAGCCATAGTGCTGCATTGTAGTTTATAATAAGTCTGACTTGTATCTTTCATTATTAGATCAAAATATATAAAAATATGATTTTATTTAATTCAGATTCTAACAGCCATTAGATGCCTGAGAAGAATCAAGACCATGATGAAGATTGTTACCAATACAGCTGTGCTAGATGTTCTACAAAAAGAAAAGCTACACAGGTAGTCATTATTTAAAATTTGAATGAATGACTGTTAAACACACTCAAACTAATAATTAAGACAAGTATAGAAAAACTGTTCCACAGTATTCATTGTCATTCAAATGTCTTGTGACTCTTTTCGAATAATTGTAGATATCATTTTGAAAATACCAGAAAAGGAATTGTCACATTCACTTTATCCTGTCTTAATTATACAGATTACTTATTGATATAAGATTCCTTAAAAATGCTCTGATATCATAAATTGTCCAAACAGCTGTATCAAGTTTTTTACCATATAAATATTTAACTTTATTTCAGATTTGGGCTAGAGAAGTTATTTACAGGATGTGTAAGAAAGGGGCAATATAGCATTGTTCAGATTGATGATCTCCTGAAAGAACAGTTCGATAATTGGAAGCCGGGAACGTCAGAAGAGATGCGGTATGTTGATGAGTTCCACAAGATACAACTCAATAAAAAGACGTACTTTTCAAGACGAAGCAAAAAGGTACATTAAAAGGAACATAATCAGTATGTTCAATTGTAATCCTTTCCAACAATATTTAGTAGAATAATATCAAGTGAGCACACATGTGCTTAGTTTTAACAATAGCTCCTTATTGCAATTTAGTGTAGAATGTAGATTGACACTGTTTTAGAGGCATACAATCTTGAAGCAATGCAAACCTGAAGCAATGGATTAATAAGTGTTTTGAAAACATAAGCCCAACATTTTTACCTGCTTTACATGTAATATAATATTTACTGTATTCCTTCGTTTGAACACACATTATACACGCATTATTACGTTTAGTGCATATGCGCTTAAATGAAGGAATATGGTATGTAGTGTATAATTCATTTTTTGATTTTTCATGAATCCCTTTTTATTTTATATTTATTAAGGTGATGAAGAGAGTCAGCTATGCCGTAAGGCTGACAGATAACAGCATAGGGACCATACAGCGATTTTTGAGAGTACAGTTTCAATCAGCTGAGACCATGTATTTTGCCCAGATAACAGTCATGGATGCACCCACACCCACGTCTCAAACAGATAAGATATTGCACATGGTTGCTAATCATAGGTAAGAATGAAGCATTCGAACTTGTTCATAAATGGATTAAACATTAGTTGATGGAAAGCCACATATATTCATGTCTGAGATTCATGATAATATCTAATGAGTATCAATATAGTTAGAATTATATACCTCATGTAAGGCTTGAACTGTGCAGTTAAAACATATTTCAAGTTATTAGTCCATTTTACAGCAAGCTGCCAGTAGATGGTAGAGCTCAGCATGAAAAAAGTGGAGCCCTCTATTCACATGTCTATCAGATAATCAGCCCTTCAATTAATCAATCAGTAAAAATGAAATAAAGAATATGAAATTCATATTTGCCTTGCTGTACTTCCAGAAACCAAGCTGGAAGGTTGACCATGGTGCCAATCATAAAGATAAGGCAGAAAGTGTATCTACAAGAACTTGACCAAAGATCATCAATTGCAATACCCATTCCAAGGACCTTTGAGCATGATTAATTGTAATTAAAGATTCAGTATACCATATGTTTCTCGCAGACAATCAATGATGTCCCATTATCAGTGCTCATATAATATCTCAAATACCATGGATATATCTTGGGATTAACTTATTGGTATATTATCGCAGAATTAATACTGAACGCGGGGGTTTTTCTAAATTTTTTGTTGGTAAGTAGATGAGTGAATGTATGGTGAAACTCAATATGCAAAAAGGTCCAGAGGGGTCTTGATTGTGCTATCTTATCGTAAAGAGCCTCTAAGTGATAGACTAAAGTTTGAAATGATATCTGAATCAAATGTTAAAGGAATGTTTTAAATATGTCTTTAATCTATAGTTGTTAAGATTTATGCTTGTTAAACGTGAAACATGTATAATATACAGCAGATTTTAAACAGGCACTGTGTTATTGTTTATTACTTATTTGATGCATCTTTAAATATTGTATTGACTTCATTCTAATTTAAATCCTTCACAACTGTGGATTTTTTTAACATGAAAATAGTTGCATTTAGTTGCAATGATTGCAATAAAATCAATCAAAGTTGCCAATGATTTGTAATGATTACAAATCATTGAAACATTTGCAATGATTCGCAACCTCAATTGTAATGATTACATGCCAATGGTTGGCAATCATTACAGCAATGGTTGGAGCAATGATTGCGCAATGGTTGGCAACCATTTGTTTTCGGAATTTCAAGGTCGGATTTTTTATAAGGGTAGGCCCGTGAACGTCGCCTTGGAAAAGAGTCAAACATTCATGTTATAACACTGCATGCAGATTTTACTGGGAAAGATATGGTTAATGTGCTCATAGAGAAAGGTAAGTCAGTTATTTAAGACCAAAATAAAGTTAAATGTCTGATAAAAATTCGAAGGAATACTGCTATGAATCATTATGTACAATATATGGAGAGTTTATGCATTATATATACAGTAGTATAGATTATGTACAATATATGGAGAGTTTATGCATTATATATACAGTAGTATAGATTATGTACATTATTCACATTAAAAACCAATGCTAAGCACACATACAGTGTATAATATATATATATAATATACCATTTGTGTCTATGATATTGATAGACATATTGATATATCCAATGGATATCATTCATATCAGAACAATTAAGGGGAGGGGGCTTCATTTACCAGTCAAATCAGACTGCCCTGGCCTCTTTCTGGAGAATATTCAATCAGTAATACACCCAACAATAGCCATCAAAATATGCTTGATACTCATGAATTTGGGTAAAAAAATGTTAAATATGTTACTAGATTTGATCTCACAAGGCAAACAAATAGGAAGTTTGACCAAGCTGACTAACAGCAAACTAATTGAATATTTACAAATCTGAGCCCCAGGCTTCAACTTGTAAGTCAGGAGAAGAGGGGTCATATCAAATATCGACTAGTTTAATGCATTAACTTTGTGGTTTTCACCTATAAACTTTACATCAGATGAATAAGTGACTGAACTATGCTCAGTAAGAGTTTGGTACATTTTAGAAGAAAAATAAAGGGTTTGCGTTCAATTAACAAATGTTCCAATTTTTTTTGGACCACCCTGTATATACAGTAGTATAGATTATGTACATTTGGTATTTTACATTATACTGTTCATCCATATGCAAAATGAAGAAGTAAAGTTTTCTAGTTGAAATGTTTACCTAGTGCAGACTACACAGGTAAGTTCACGTCCATTTATGTATTGTGAACAAGGCAGAGAGCCACACTTTGCTTCAACAACATAGATCATAGCTTGATTATCATTAATTCTACTTCTCCCTTCTTTTGCCTCTGGGGCCTCGTCCACGCATATCCAGCTGGTTCTGTGACCTTCTGTATAGTCAGCCATTAAGTATCCTTTATACTCCTGTGTCCACCCACTTGGGCAGGTATTCCTAGCTGGGATCATTAATGTTGTCACTCTTGGAACTGCACACAAGACACATGGTACCTCACGGTCGTTTAGAGAATTACTGTCAGATGGGGCATTTGTATGGAGGAATGGATTTGCATCTGGTGCTTCAACTTGGTATTCAACTCCATACATTAAGGCTGAGTATCGGGCTGTGCGGTCATTGAAGTTCCCCCATTGAGGCTGAAGAGGGAGACACTTGTATTCCGCCCCACCTCCAGTTTTTTCCCAATGTGACCCTCCAGTTATTCCTTCATAAAGTGTTGTGGTGCTATTGGGACAAATGGTTCGCCCCCACCTCACATATGTTGTATATGCAAGATTGTTCACACGTGTAGATACAACATGGAAGGTATGCTCCAGGTTGCCCACCTTAAAATTCAGGTCAGTAGCCATTGAGTTCATCTGTCTCCTTTGCTCATTTGTAGTAACACCCAGAGCTGTGATGTTTTCTTTGATATTTTCAAATTTTTCACTTAGAATATGCTTTTTATACAAAATTAAAGCAGTTACATTCCAAGTGAGAGTGTTTACCTCTCGGTTGAGTTCATTTGTATCTGATGTAAGGTCTGTAACATTTGCAGTAATCTGTTCCAGTTTCTCATTTTGTTTTAGGTTTTCTAAAATCAAAGCTACTACATGTTCTTCTAGCTGTTTTTGATATGATATCAAAGTTGTGACATTTCCAGTGACTTGGTCAACTTCTCTGTCAATTTCATTCTTGTCTGATGTCAGGGCTATAACCTTTTCATTAAGTTGGTCTTTGTCTGATGTCAAAGCTGATACATTTCTAATGATTTCTTTGACCATTTCAACTTGCTCACTATTATGTGATATCAGATCTTGTATTTTTTCCACAACTTCAGCTTTATCTGATGTTACATTTTCAACCAATTGGTCAAGTTTTTCAGTAATTTCATTTGTTTTCAATGTTAATCCTATAATATTCTCAAAGAATTTATCTTTGTCAGATGCCAATGATGTTACATTTACAGCGATTTCGTCAATATTTATACTAATTTCATCTTTTTCAGATTGCAGGTTCATTATACTATTAGCAAGTTCATCTTTGTCTAGTGTCAGCTCTGTTACATTTACAATGATTTTCTCAATATTCCTATTCATTTCCTCTTTTTGTGCTGTCAGGTCTATAACATTTGATGTCAGTTTTTCGTTGTCTGATGTCAATGCTGTTACATTTTCAACAAGTTTGTCTTTTTCTGAGGTTAGGGTTGTTACATTGACAATGATTTTCTCAATATCTCCGTTGATTTGTTCTTTGTTTGATATCAGGTCTATTATATTGTTGGCAAGTTCATTCTTATCTAATATCAAGGCTGATATATTTTCGTTGATTACTTTGATGTATCTGTTGATTTCTACTTTCTCTGATGTCAAGGCTGTTAGATTTACAATGATTTGGTTAATACCTCTTTTGATATCATCTTTTTCTAATGCCAGGCCAGAGATATTTTCAGCGAGTTCATTCTTGTCTGATGTTAAGACTGTTATATTTCCAATGATTTGGTCAATAGTCCCAGTGGTTTTATCATAATCTGATGTCAAGACCACAACCCTATCAGCTAGTTTATCTTTCTCTGATCTCAGAGCTGTCAGATTTGTAATCATTTGTTCAATATGCTCAACGTGCTCATCTTTGTGATGTGTAAGGATGGATATATTTGTCTCAAGTTCAAGTTCTGCTGCCTTCATGGCTGTTGTATTATGAACAAGTTGTTCAACTGTTTCATCCAGTTTATGTTTGTTTAACATCAGATCACTGATGTTTTCGACAAGTCTATCTTTGTCTGAAGTCAGGACTGTTACATTGTGAATGATTTTGTCAACATTTAAATTCATCTTGATGTTTTCTGTTGTCAGATTTGTTACAGATTCAGTAATCTGGTCTGTAACAGATTTATGCTCTGTCATATTGTCAATAATTTGGTTAACTTTCTCATCCAATATTATAAAAGTTTGTTCATTGTGTCTAGCATTTAAAGTGGTATTTTTTGTCAGTTCATCGACTTTGGTGTTCAAGTGGTGATTATCCAGCATTAATAATGTCATACTATCACTGAGATTCATCAGTTTCATTGGCAATCCAGCTATTCGATTCATTTCCCCTCTCATGTCATTCATATCTGTGATCAGTTCTGTTATATTGTCATGCAACACTTTAACATCTTGCGTTAACCCTGAAGCTGGTTGAGAATGTCCATTTAAGCCTGTCACATTTCCAACATCTATCCGTTCAGTGAGTTCTGCAACTTTTGTTCTCAAATCAATGTTGTTGAATTTGAAAGCTGTAAAGTTTTTACTGAGTTCATCAACTATACTCTTGATAACAGTAATATTACAGGTGTTTGTGTTAACATGTAGGTTGCTATAGTTTAAGGTTAGAGCAGTTATATTTCTTGCCAGATTATGTACCTCTCCTCTAAGTCCATTACATGTTTCACATCTAGATAGATCTGTCATATTTCCATTGGATTTGCTCCATTCACGAGCAGCGAATGTCTCAGAAGACAGGTTCGTGATATTTTCCGTAAGTCTGTCAATTGTTTCACTCAGCTGATTTTTGTCCAGTGTTAGTAAGGTAATATTAGCAGCAAATTCAGCATGGCTTTCACGAAGTTGAGTATCATATTGACATATTTTCTCTTGTAAATCATTCAAATCTGTGATCAGTTTTGTTATATTGTCATGTAACGAATCATCCTGTTGGGAGCCTGAATCGTGGTGAGAACTTCCATTCAAGGTTGTGCCATTTTCATCAGATACTCCAAGATTTTCAATCACTATGATAAGGTCATTTACTTTGCTGTTCAATTCTTTTTTCTCTGTGATCAATGCAGTCATCTTATGTGTGAGTTCGTCAACTTTCCCCCAGATGCCAGTATCATTGTAGGTTTTCATAGAAGGATGTATTATTGCATCGTAGTTTGATGTTAGGGTTGTTATATTTCCGGCCAAATTGTGCACTTCTTCTCTGAGGTCCTTATTATCTCTATGCAAGTTTGCAATTAAGGCATTATTCTCGGCAATCAAGGTGTCACTCTCTTCTCTGAGGATTGTCGCATTTCTGATCGCCACTTCAACCTTCTTATAAAGTTCATCACATGTATCGCATTTGGATAAGTTTGTCATATTTCCAATGAATTTGCTGAAATCATCAACTGTAGAAATGAGAATGGTTACATTTGCAGCAAGCAGATCAACATTATCGCCCATTTCCTCATTGGTTTTACGATTTCTCATAATTTCATACCTCATATCATAGTTTTCAGACATCAAGTTTAGGAACTTTTCTCCAAGTATGTGAATATTTTCACTGAGCTGATTTTTATCCAATGTTAGTTCAGTTATATTATCAGCCAGTTTGGCATTATTTTCACGAAGTTGAGCATTGTCTGCCATCAGTTCATCTACTTTGATCTTCAATGTGTTTTGATCTGATTCGATTGTCTCCAGTTTTTGTAGTACATCTCTCATATCCTGTCCCTGTCTCTGGTAGTTTGTTTGTATATCCATCAGGGAGACCCCAACGCAATGGGACTTAATACAAGCAGACTGTTGGACAGTACTTTGTCCTGAGACTGCACCCAACACCATTCCAACGAACACGGTTATTGTCCTACACAGCACCATTATCATGTATGAATATGACTGAAGAACAGTATGCAAACAAACATATAAGTCTTTCTGCTATTTAATTGAAAGGCACGTCTCCTTTGAAGCATTTGAAACATGAGTCATCACCTTGCAAAATAATTTAATGAAATTATTCTCAAAGTTGATAATACCCTGTATAAACACAGGAAGAGGGTTTCACTTGCTGATGTTTTGTTTTTAATTAAGTTTTAACGAAAGCAATTTATGAGATAAAATGTTGATATTCATGTCAGTTAACTCTAGTTTCAATTATAGTTGAAGTGTCTGTAAACAGATCAATAGTGTTATGACCTATTGTCTTTCTCTCTACTGGGGGTTAAACAATAAACATGTCACTCTTAAAACTTTTTATAATCTTAAAATAACTTTCTAACTTCAGTCACTCAGCATAACCATTTTGAATTAATTATACAAGTTGTATTATACAGTATCAGATTAAGTGAAAGATGTCTTTATTAAAAACATTCATGATTTCAAAAAGTGAGAATACCAACAATTTCTAGGATTTTTTTCAGGAGGTCTTTAAACAGAAAAAACAATGATTTTAAGAATTAAATTTACAGGGTGATTCAAAATGTTTTCTCTTCAGGCATTCTGTGGTATTAACTGATCTAAGAACTTTAAAAATGCAATTAACTGAATTTGGGATTTCTTTCTTTTGCCAAATTTTGAGACATCTATATTCTATACTACAAAATTTGCATTTAACCTATCTATGTACCTTTGGAACAACTTGGTCTATTATGATGAATTATCTTGCTTATTTATAAAATATTGTTTTTAATATTAATGTTCATGATATGGTGTGAGATCATATTTAGAAGCAAAACTTGATTGCTTAAAATCATAAAATGTCTCACTGTTTCACAAATTAGAAATTCATGAAGATGCTATCATATGAATTATTCATCATAATTAGAGGTTTTCTCAAATCAATAAGTTTCATTTTTGTGTCGCCCTGTACATGTTTGCCTATATTCAGGCATGTGCCACAGATGCAATGTAACCACAAACTCTGAGAGATATGACACTTTTAACAGTTTCTTGTTATGTTAAAATAAGGCAGTCTTTACTATGTATACAGACACTGTATATTTAGCTGGTGTTGATCTTGAAACAATTGCCAAAAGTTAAGAACTGTTTTTTCTGGATGTGGATTTATAAATGTTTTTTTTACAAGTGTGGTTAACATATTTGAACCAAAAAGCACAGGTGGAATCCTACATAAAAACTGAAATATGTCTCAAGGTCGTGATGAAATCGTGTTTAACTTTGCTATGAGAAGAAACTATTATACAGAGTTGTGCATTGATGTTAATTCTTTTCAGTAGCCAGAACAGCAATTTATCAATCATTTAGATTGGACCGCTCCAAAAATGAAGCTTTAAAAATATTTTTGAGAAGTCCCTGTATATATTGTATGACCCTGATGAGGCTTATATAATGAACACCCTGTATATTACTCATTCACCCTACTCTATCCAGTTTCACATCAAAGCATATGAATCCCATCAAAATAAACATAGACAAAACAATCCACTTAAGACTTTATATGATATCTCTTAGTGTATGTGAATCAAGAATTCAAGCTACGACCCTCTTAAGAATGCTGCTGTTGTTATAGCAGTTGGTTATAATAAACCAATGACGATGGCATCTGCAAATTGTACATATGTAGCTTTTGGCAATGTCAGTCACAATTCAGGAGGAAGTATATCTAATAGGTTACCATTGTCTTGGGAAGTAGGCATTACTCTAGTTTGTTCAGAGCTTTAAATTCTGAGACATTCATAAGTCTGAATATAGGAAAGTTATATATAGGATAGGAAAATATTGTACCATAATATTCTGTGCTTTTGGGGCAAATAATGGCTACAAAGCAGTCATGATTTAAATAATGTTTTCCTTCGTTGAATGCAACTTGCATCAATTACACAGTATCTCTGTAACTTTAAACTCCCGTCACCATGCATTAGAAGTAACGAGGTTAAGTCTCAGTCATGGTCTCTATTCTAATCTTGGGATCTGCTCCTTGCAATCTTAGAAAAGACAAAATTGCCTTTTGACATCTTGACTTCAAAATATGAAATTTAATCATCTGTAAAGTTAAGCTGAGGCAACTACAGCAATCTGTTATTACATGTAACTAACCAAAATGGGGTTTGACTTAACTTACTCCAACTTAAAAACAAATGCATTTTTCTTGATGCCAGTAGTATTATTATTAAGTGGTTTTGCTTAGCATTCCAATTTTATACATATGGTCCATTATGCAGGCTCTCTACCAAGTGAGTCGACATACTGTTAAGCCAAAAAGTAAACTATTTCTCTGTATAGGAACCTTGTTCATGGTACCAGGGTTAGCATCATATCTTCTGTTATGTTCAAATGTAATAATAAAATTAATTATAATTTTGGCTAACGACATTGAAGTAAATCCAGGGCCAAGATACCAAGAAACTAATATATTGTCCTGTAACATAAATGGTAAAATTGCTGATGGTGAAAATAGTCCTAGGTTTGTAGAATTGGGATTAACAGCCAAATTACAAAATTGCCAAATAATCTCGGTCTGTGAAGCAGGGAAAAATCTTGACTTAGACAAATTAATGATTGATGGCTTTCATAAACCATACCAACCTCAAAATTTTCAAGGGAGAGGAATTCTAATGTATGTGGACGAAAATTTAGCTTTCAAGCCTAGGGATGACCTTAGCACACTCAATGAGATTGGTTGGTTAGAGATAGTCATTGAACACAAAAAAATCCTCCTAGGCACATGCTATAGGTCTCCATCAAAGACATTGATTGGTGACATTGAACAATTTAATACATTACTAGAGCAAAGTGTAGAAACTGCTATGAGGGAAAGGAAATATGACATGATACTAATTAATGGGGATTTTAATGCCAGGAGTAAATTCTTTTATGATCATGATATTGATAATACAGCAGGAACCAAATTATATGAGACAATGACTAACCTTGGGTTTGAACAATTTATTCATGAACCAACTAGAATAACTGAAAATAGTTTATCATGCATTGACCTAATTTTTTCAAATTCTCCAGGCCTCATGATTGGTACTGAAGTCCTAGCCCCAATAGGGGGCAGTGACCATAGTACTATAGTGTGTAATTTACAGCTAGCTACAAGTAAAAATCAACCTAAAATTACTACTAAAACTTGGCAATACAAAGACTGCAACCAGCAAGCCCTAAATAATGATATAGATTCTGTGAATTGGAACAACATTATAAATAATGGCACAATTGATGAGTCAACTTTAAATTTTTCCTCCAAGTTACTGTCTATTTTTGACCATAACATACCTCACAAAATCAAGGTGAGGAAACCAAAAGATTTACCTTGGTTTAATGACGAAATCAAAAAGGCTGTGAATAACCGTGACAAATATTATAAGAAATTCAAAAGAAACAACACTTTGGATTCAAAGTTGAAATATAAAAATAAAGTTGAAATGTTGAATAATCTTATTAACAAGGCTAAACTTAACCATGAACAGGAAATTTGTGAAAATCTTCACACTTATTCAAGTGGGGAACATTTTTATTGGAGCGCTATTAAAAAATTACTTGGAAATAAATTTTCCTCTGGAATTCCAACTTTAAGAAATTCATCTTTGACAAACATATGTAGTACAGATGAAGAAAAACGAAACGAATTTTTGAAATTGTTCGTAGGTAAATTTCACTTTGATAATACCCGCGACACAAATGCATTACCATTTTTTCCAAATAGAACAAACAACCTTTTGACTTGTAATTTAATCACACCATTGGAAATAAGAACCCTCATAGCTGACCTTGACACATCAAAAAGTGAGGGTTTGGATGGTATTACAAATAAAATGCTCACCATGAGCATTTTATCTATTGACAAACCATTAGCCTTATTGTTTAATAGAATTCTAACTGAAAACATTTTTCCAAGATCATGGAAAGATGGAATAATAATTCCAATCTATAAGAATAAAGGTGATAAATCTGATATTACAAATTACAGACCTGTCACATTACTTAGTAATATATCCAAATTATTCGAAAAAATAGTGCATCAACAGATGATGAAGTTCCTTTTAGATAATAAGTTATTATATGAAAATCAATCAGGTTTCCTGCCTGGTCACAGCACTGACAGTCAGCTACTAAGTATTACTAATTTTATAATGAATGCATTTGAAGACAAAGCGGATGTACGGGGAGTCTTTTTGGACCTGGAGTCTGCGTTTGATAAAGTCAGACATAATTTACTTATCCACAAGCTAAAATCTTATGGCTTCAATGATAACCTGTTGAAACTTATGAAATCCTACCTAGACAATAGAAGAGTATGCACACGCCTTAATGGATCTTTATCCGAATTTTCTGAAGAAAATTTTATAAACTCTGGTGTGCCTCAAGGCTCTATTCCAGGCCCCATCCTATTTCTGCTATTTATAAATGATCTCCCAGAGGTCATCCAATCAAAATGTTATATTTATGCTGATGATACTTCTATATATGTCCCCGTTCACAAGTTTGAAAATGTTTTAACATCAAATACATTACTACAACATGATCTAGACAATGTCTATGACTGGTCAAGGGTTTGGGGGCTTAACTTTAAGCCCACGAAAACCAAAGAGATAATTTTTTCCAAATCTATTCAAAATGTAAGAAACTTTCCTATTTTGACCTTGAGCAACAGAATAATTGAAAGAGTAAATTATCATAAACATCTTGGTGTTATCTTAGATAACCACCTTGACTTCAAAGAACATATAGCCCAGCTAAAAGTCAAAATTGATAAAATGCTAAATCCACTTACAGCATTGAAAAATAAAATTTCATCCAAACACCTTGAAAGAATGTACTTATCATTCATTTTGCCAAAATTAGAATTCGGATCAATCTTTTATAATTGTTCACCACATTATACCCTAAATACCTTGGATAGGTTACACTACA